GAGATGAGGTCTTGCCTGCCCAGGCGGGTCTCGAACCCGTGGACTCAGGCAATCCACTCATCTCAGCCTTCCAAAGGCGCGGGATTACAGGCTGAGCCACCGAGCCCAGCTTGGCCTTCTTAAAATAGGACACTTTTCAAGTGGAAGGCAGCTTCATATTCCAAAGAGAACATGAATCCAGAAGAGAGGCGAGGAGGGAGAACAGAACTCAGAGACCTGAAAACAGTAGTACCTGTGAAAGCAGGTTCACGTGTGGCCTCAGCAAATGAAGGGAGGAGGACACAGTGGGTCAAGTCTAGGGTTCTTCATTTGAGTTTGCTAGTAACAGTCACTTGTTACATGTATCTCAGCACCTCCTGGGTCAATTGCCTTACATTCTGAGAAAGCTACAGAAAATGTGTCAGGCTATCCCTAACACTTAACCAGCTTATGAGAGAAATCTGTTCAGATAGTTAAGACAGGAAGAATACTAATAATCAGACCCTTATAAAAATATACATTATAGATATTTAGGGAGACTTCATACTTAACCTTATTTTTAAAAAAGTTAATATTTTGATTAATGATGTGATAAAGATTATGCTGTATGCAAGCACATTCTGTAAACATGAATAAAACCAGACAAGGAGCTCTTGCCTTCCCTTTGAAGGAAGGCAGAGATTCTTCAGCTAGGATTGACAACAGAGTGGTGGCCCTGTGGCAAGTCGACCAGAGGCCAGTGAAAAGGAAAATGTATTTGTCTGGCCAACTGATACCCTCACACATTTGTAGCTGTGTATCCTGGGCTTGCATTTCATGGAAATCCAACAATTTTTTTTTCTATTTTGTAAATATAGATCTTATCTTTAGTTTAGAAAATGATGATTAGGTACTATAATACCTATTTAGTAATAACCACAATAGGTGTCATTTAGCTCCACCAAGAGTTAATGTAGAGCTCTGTGTGCTAAAAGTTGTGAATAATATGTCCTTAAGAATGCTTTATGGATCTAGAGTCTATCATACTCAGTGATCTATCACAGAAACAAAGAACAGAGTACCACATGTTCTCACTCATAAGCGGACCTTGAACAAGTATCATAATTCTATAAGAAAGGGATTGGCAGTAGTGGGAAACTGCCAGAGGAGGTGGGGGCACACCTCATCAACAAGGATACCTGCATAGTTAACATTTGTATACCTAACCCTGAATTGTACCCCACATATTTAAAAAAAGTAAAATTAAAAAATAAATACAAATAAATAAAACGCTTTAATTTAGTGGAGGTAGGCACTCACCTCCAAAATGCTACCATGTATCTTATCTCTAGTTCTCTGTGATATGATTTCTGATTGTGTGTCAGTTTTGAAGAAACATCATTATCTTTCTTGGTTAGTTGCCAGACTTACCAACTAAGAGACTCCAGACATCTACAATCTATATTAGACACTTATGATCGATATTATTGTCAGTGGCTATTGATAGCATATTTTTTTTCCTTATTACATTTCTTCTATGTAAAGAAATAGAGTACTTACGAAACTTGTTTTGCAACTGGCAATGTATAATAAAAGATTAGAAGAAATTACTAGTAAAGGCAGAGATATCCTCCAAAATTTGGAATTATGTTCTTTAACAACAGAAAAAAAGTTTTTTGAGAAGTAAGTGTAGCATATATACAATATAAATGTATAAGACGTTTAAAGTGTAACAACAACAAAATAAATACTTATGTATCCATTATCTAGGTTAAGAAATAGAACACACCCATATTCTGAAATTTAAGTTTTTCAGCACTCATTAGGCAACTCAGTCAGTATTTTTCTTTATTCTTCACATCTGTGTTTCTTTTCTTTCTGGCCAAGTATAATAAAATGTAAATTTCAAATCAGTGAACAAAAGTCATCCTTTATAGAAGCAATATATAACTGTGTAACACTAGTATTGCACTCTCTTATAACCATAAATATTTTTATTTAATCAGATAGTTTGTATAAAAATTCTTGTCCATTCAAAAAACACTTGTGATTCTAAGCAACTATGGATTGACCTGAAAGAGTGTCTTAGTTTTAAAGGTTTTTAATAAATTTGTAATTGGTTTTTAAAAATATATGTATTTATTTGGAGAAAAAGCTGAGGGAACTTTGGTTGAGAGCTTTTGTATTCCCCATTTTGGCAGTATAAGTAGGTTATTCTCTAGAGAAAAGGTGCACTCAGAGGTAAGCTTTGGTTAATTGTTAAATGGAAATGTGAGCCTGTCAGTCTATTTTGTGCTTCTACAACAAAAT